TTGCCCACTTTGTCGCAGCTGCCTCAATTATCCTTAAAGGTCTTGCGAGAAGACTCCCATGCCCAAGCGCCAACTCAATCCCATGCTTTACCCAAAATGATGATGATGCGTACAGGGTCGCTCTTACGATTGCACCGTCTTGGTCATCACCAAAGTCAGATTCAATCCAGACAAGGATATCAATACCTAGCAATATACCCCACCAGGAAGAGATATATTCTCTCTTCCTGATTCACCTTGGCAGGGATATCTGGAGTCCATCCTCTCTTTCAACTGGCTGGGTCATATTGGGATTCTCCTCCGCATATGGCATCTTGACTTGCCTTTGTTCGCCGCCGGAAAATGTGTGGAAAAAAAAAAAAAAAAAAAAAAAAAAAAAAAAATATATATATATATATATATATATATGGGGGTGTAGATTTTTGTGAGGTCGACATCCCCATATTTTTTTATTTTTTTTTTGAGAATCCGAATGATTTTTAAAAAATAAAAAATATGCGCCTTGCTAACAAAACAAAGGGAAAAAAAAAACAATGCACAGGCAGGGGGGCTGTGGGCCCAGTTGGGGTCGCGTAGATTTGGGGACCATTTTTGGAGGTGAAGCGGAAAACGGCGCGCGTCATGTGAGGCAAACGACAAGATAGCGATCATAAAAAGGCCGATTCTGTCTTGTCCGTCGCGACTCATTGCGCGCCGCATGTTTGTGTTCCGTTGGGAGTCTGGACAGGCGGTGAAGCGGAAAACGGCGCGCATCATGTGAGGCAGACGACAAGATAGCGGTCATAAAAAGGCCGATTCTGTCTTGTCCGTCGCGACTCATTGCGCGCTGCATGTTTGTGCGTCGTTGGGAGTCTGGACAGGCGGAGGGTGGTGTTACCATTTGAGATACCTGGGCGCGCTGAAAGGGCGGGAGGTGGGGTCCTGGAAGACCGTTGCAGCGCGCGTCCGACGGCGGCTGTAAGAAACGACGAGGGTTCGACGGCCGATCAACGGGGGTTCAATGCGGTTCAACGGGTGTTCAATGCCCGCTGAACGGGTGTTCAACGGCAGTTTGCGGCAGGCGGGTTGCGATCGGCATGGTCGGTTACCGTCCGAGGCAGCGAGAGACAGAGATATGGCGAGAGAGAGAGAGAGAGAGAGAGAGAGAGAGACGTCGACGACGGAGGAAAATGACGAACGAGGTAGGGACTGCTTCTTCTTCTTCTTCTTCTTCTACTTCTTCTTCTTCCTCTGACTTTCTCCCTCTCTCTCTCTCTCTCTCTCCCTCTCTCTCTCTCTCTCTCTATTTGTCTGGTCAACAACGTCGAATCGCCGTCGAACGCCGTTCGTCGCCTGTGATCGCCATTGATCGACGTTCGACGGCGTTCTACAGCCGTTGATCGCCTGTGACAATGCTTTTATGGCAACTTTTTTTTTTTTTTTTCATGAATGAATGAATGAATCAATCAATCAGTCAATCATATTTCAATCGATCAATCAATCAATCGATCAACCAATCAATCAATCAGTGAATCACTGAATCAGAGAAACATCATTCAATCAATCAATCTTCATTCAAGATTGATTGATTGATTGATCGATGTTTGGTTGATTGATTGATGGAATGATTGATCGATGTTTTAGCTAATTCCTGCACGAAAGCCCCTTGAATCTCGATCACCACGTGCCAAATTTCCACCCAATAATGTTCCATCGTTAGTTGGTCCCGCTTTTCCTCTGGTTTTTGTTTTTTCGGGGAGGGCCAAGGGAAAATCCGGACCCCCGATCGCCCACAAGGTATGTTCCGCCATGTGTCCATGATTCGCTTGTTAGAATCAAACATACAAATTATCGTGAAAACCGTTGATGAGATAGGTTGGATCTGGAAGAAGTCACGTGCACCCTCTTCGGATCCTTTGAGGGTTGCAAGTTTCTTTTACTGATCCACCTTACTTTGTCATTGGCAGATTTGTAGGCTTGTCATTGACAGATTTGTAGGCCGCGTGGTCATAGAAAACCCACGTTCTGGCATGGCAAGTATATATTGCATTTCTTTCCCTGATCATGTCACTCGGGAGAGCTTTAACCCTGTGCTTTTTTTTTTTCCCCTGATTGATTATCTTATCGTCTGGGCTGGCCAAGAATTTTGCGAAAAAGAAGGCCGACGCCGTGGTCAGATTATCCAGTGGAATTTCCAGGTCACTCTCCCCTTCCCCATCTCTTTCGACTGACAATGTTTGACATGCATACATCTTCTTGAGCTTATCACCCACGAAGAAGGGGACCCCTGAGAGGTGGTTCCTTTCTTCGTCTGCAGGTCTTTCATTTCTTTTAACAGATCTGCCAGGGAAAGGGAAGAACGAGACTGCGGGTTTTCTGTGTGGTCAGCGAGGGTCCGATGGGAGGAGGAGGCCTCTTCCCCGGTCCCCCCTTCCATCCTCTCCTTCTCGTACCGGGGTCGTCAATTAGTCGAGTGGTGACCCATGGGCCCCTGATACCACATTGTCGGAGGCCGTCCCCTTCCCTTCTTCTAGCTTCGTTTTTTAAGCTTGCCATGCTATTTTGATGTAGGGGTGAGCTCACGCGAATGATTGGATGTGTTCCAAGGGAGCATGGATAATCATAGGTTCGTTCAAACCAAAAAATAAAACATGTCAGTTTTGACCAAATTGCTGTTGCTGCAGAATGTGGATGCTGCAATCCCCGTTCGCCCGCTCACATACTTCCCACCCAAACCACCATACCCCTCACAAACGATCCCTGGCGCTGCAGTGGCGCACACACACAAACCCAGACCCACACGCACGCCCTCACCCACCCACAACGCACGCAGGCAGGCAGACGCACGCAGTCACGCGGCACGCTCTTTCGTGGCAGCACCTCCCCTTTTGGTTCCCTCACCGGTTTTGAACCGGTACTACATCGGCACTGTAGTGGCAATACACTGGCCGTCGGAACGGTGCCAGGTGCGCTATCGATAGCAGGACTGGAGCCATTACAGTTCTATTCAGACTGAAGGGTACCCCAAATACATGTAGTCCTATTCAGACTGAAGGATAGCCCAAATACAGCCATAATGACCGTACGTTGTAATCGGGGGAAGAGGGTAGCTCTAGTACCGACGGTACGCAGGTACCACTGGTAGTGCCGAGACATAGCGCGTATACGAGTCGCTGGTGGCTGTCTGTAGACTCTGTACCCGTGCGGCTGCTGGGAAAGCATGTGAGAAAGTGATAAAGCAAAGTCAAAGTCAGCGCATTGTAAATGCATTTTTTCGTGTTTTTTTTTTTTTTCCCATTTCTTAATGAATGCGTGTCATCCGTGCTCAAGGGCTATGCTATGAAGCTTTCTGTTTCAATTCACTCCTCACTGCCAAGCCCCCAGAATAGATGAGGCATATTTTTATTAAAAAAAAAAAAAAAAAAAAAAAGAACAGCAATATCAAAGTAAGCACACAGACCGAGCACAACAGAGAGAAGAACATAGCGTAGTTGTTAAAAAAAAAAAAAAGCCGCACCAATGACCTGCTGGTGAAATACAGACCTGAATTTGAATCCAGATGGAACCAAAATAACCAGATCCCAAGTCCCACCTACCCGAATCCTCAATTTCTGCCCGTAGATTGAAGCATTGGCGTAAGTGGGACTTGGCCCCAGGATACTCATTCTTTTTTTTTTTTTTTTTTTTTTTTGAACCAAAGCATTCATATTCATATTGTCAAAGGAAACTCGTTCTGAATTACCTGGGTCCGGTCAGTTCAATGATGATATTCAAAGACCGTCGCCGTTTCGTAAACATTGTGAAGCTGCTCCCCAAGAACAGATTGGAGCTATGTTTAAAAACAAAAAGAGGGGAAACTACAGGGGAGTGACAAAAATGAGTTATAATTGCAGTAGGCTTCAAGATACAGTTCCCAATTATTGCAGTTCGGGCAATGTATACAACCCAGCTTTCTGGCCAGGTGTAGGGTGCCTGAAAATCAATTGCAAATTGTATCTTGCCCCGTAGTGCAATTACAGCTCGTTTTTGCGACTCGACTGAAGTTACCCCAAACACAAGTGCAGCAAAATCGATGCACACCTTACAAATACACAAAACAGAGTACCATATTGTATAAACTATTTAATTTATTTAGGCCCTTGAAGCTTGCTCCACTGGTCCAAACTTCGACGCCTGAACAAAAAGGTGTCTCTTTATTATAGTTAGGCAATCAGAATAGAAGTACGATAGAGGTAGAATTAGGGGTAACTTCAGTTGAGCCGCAAAAACGAGTTGTAATTTCACTATGGGGCAAGATACATTAGGCAAGTAGAATAGAAGGTAGAGGTAGAATTATATATGCTGGACACTCTTTCCAGCAAAACAAAACAAAACAAAAAAATAAAAATAAAAAAAAATGCTAGGGTTAGGACTTAGGCGCAGCAGCGACAGAGCTCCGATGCCTGTAGTAAAAGACTCGCAGGCTTTTCAGCCTATAAGCTAGGCGGGATCATGCTTCCAAGACACCATCGCGGATGTAATGTAGAGAAACCCGTCTTCCTCAATTGAAGTCGCAATACAAATTTGGATATTGAGAGGAGGGGGGGGGGGGGCGAGAGGACAGGAGGGTCGGGAGGAAAAACAAAACAAAACAAAAACCGAAACGAAACAGAAGCTGCTGCAAGAATCAAATTATATGTGAGACTCAAGAGCGAACTGCGGGATTGAAACGGCAGAACCGAAAGCGTTTGGAATTTACAAGGATAAAATAATAATCTGCACTCGTCTAAACGAGAATCTTACCCTGGAATGTATATATTTCTACCCAACGTTGACCTGGGTATATCATTGTAGACACCAAACATGACACTGAAACTACTGGAAGTCCACCCGAGGCTTTTTTCCCTCTTTTTTTGTAGAACAAACGTCATCCTCGGAATAAAATAATTATTATTCATGAACAGGTTTTCCTTTCAACCCTCTGCTCCTCTACTTATTTTGTGCGCCAATGATCCCCCTCTATGTATACGGCCCCTGGGCCAGTCAAACCATGACCTTGATTGTTCTCCATCGCTGCGATTCCTGCGAATAGAATCCCTGAGAGGCTGAGACCCTAGTCTCCTCCCTGCTCGCCATAGATGGCCATACGGAACAGATCCCGCCATATGATTATCACATTGCCGCGTTGTCAAACACAGAGAGAGAGAGAGAGAGAGAGCAAATCGATATCAGGAGCCGAGCACGATTGTAGTTTAGTAGACAGTACTAGACACCCCTCCTAATAGAAGATTAAACCAGTGCAGAGACACTGGAGGGCGCCACCAACGACGAAGACCAGGTTAGGGAGGGGGGGAAGGGCACTCTGATGGGCGAGAGAGTGTGTCAAGTGGGCGGTACACGTTGTTTGGCCGTTGAACACCCATCCATCGAGCATCCGGACGTAGATCATCCAAGTCCGCGAGTTGCTCGCTGCATACACCATCCACCGCAAGCTGTCGTTCACATTCAAGCCCAATTCACTCCTCTACAACTTGCAGAGGCATTGCTTGCATGTAGATTTCCAATGTCACTCGGATATAGAATCCTTCCAAGCCCTCAATTCTGACGGTTCTCTTACCACCGCCAGGTTCGAGGGATACCGTATGGGCATTCTCAGAAAAAAAAAAAAAAAAAAAAAGGGAATCCTTCCACCTCTTTACTCTTCGAATAGACCTCCGGACTCTGCCACTCCCGGGCTTGGGCCGTACCACTCCCGGGCTTGGGCCGTACCAAACCACCACAACCTCTTGCGCTATGGATGTCGACGATGGTGCCCATTTCCAATGTCACTCGCCTCAGTCGCCTTTGCTTACGAGTCATGAAACGCCTGTGTGTCCTTCAACACTCCACCACTTGGCAAATGTGAAAACGTCGAAAGATTTGCCGCCAAATGTGAAAAAGGTGTCTGAAAGCAATCCAATGACTCCACCACTTCGCGTCCGAGAAATGCAACGCCTGTGTGTCCTTCAACACGTGGATCCGGACAAGACTCGACAGGGGGGGAAGAGGGGGAGGTCAAGAGACAAGTGAAAGGTGTGTGAAAGCACACTTCACCACTTGGGAAATGTGAAAACGCCGAAAGATTTGCCGCCAAATGTGAAAACGCCGAGAGACTTGCCGCCGAATTCGAAAATTTTTCGAAGGAATTGACCACTGCATATTTCCGTTCCTCAGCTGGCAGAAAAAGAAACGGCCGCCGCCCGGCCGAAAAATCCAAAAGATTTCCCAAACACAAAAAAGTCAAAATCAAAAGACTCGTCCGCCGACCGTAAGTCTCAAGCCATAGCGGCGCCAAACATCCGCGCTTCAATAAAATAAAAAATAAATAATAAATAAAACATCCACGCTTCTCAGTGGGCGACCGCCGAAGGCTTAGAGAGAGCTGCGCGCCGAGCGTAGGGTAACCAACTTACCGGCGTCTTACCGGGGTCAACAACTTCAGCTTCGGCTGTCAGATTCAATCGCGCTACGCAGCAGTGGTGGTGTACAGGAAGGGTCAGGCTTTCCTGGTCAAAGCGGCACTGACAGAACAAACAAGCCGTAGTGCAAATTAGGAAGAATGGAAAGAGGCAACGAAGGTGGAAACGGAGAGGACTCCAGATTAAACGGCAAGCGCCGGTATGTTCGTGACCTCCTAGTACCTGTTCCCGGTCAAAGGGGCACTGACAGAACATACAAGCCGTAGGGCAAATTAGGAAGAATAGAAAGAGGCAACGAAGGTGGAAACGGAGAGGACTCCAGATTAAACGGCAAGCGACGGACGTACCGAGCTTATCCATCGAGCCGGTATGTTCGTGACCTCCTAGTACCTGTTCCCGGTCAAAGGGGCACTGACAGAACAAACAAGCCGTAGGCCCGTAGGGCAAATTAGGAAGAATGGAAAGAGGCAACGAAGGTGGAAACGGAGAGGACTCCAGATTAAATGGCAAGCGACGGACGTACCGAGCTTATTCATCGAGCCGGTATGTCCGTGCTTTCTCCTAGTGCCTGTTCCTGGTCAAAGGGGCAGTGAGAGACCGAACAAGGGCAACGTAGAGAGAAGGGAGAGAGGCAACGAAGGTGGAAACGCAGAGGACTCCAGATTAAACGGGAAGCGGGGACATACCGGGCTTATCGATCGAGCCGGTATGTCCGTGCTTTCTCTTAGTACCAGTTTTGCCACGATCTGTGTGCATACACTGACGCATCATGCCATCACTGATAACCAATGCATTCTGATAACGAGTGCATTGTAAGAGATCTCCAACGCCGGATTCAGGCTCAATCAGACCATACTCAATTCAAACTCACAGAGCCGAGCAACTTATGATCAGCTGCCCCTGACGGACGTCTTGTGCAGTAATTGTAACTCGGCAGCTCTGCCCACGCATCAATCAATCAATCAATCAGTCAATCAATCAATCAATATCAATCAATCAAGCAAGCAATCAATGAATAAATCAATCCATCGATCGATCTTCGAAGAAAGACTTGTCGGGAAGAGCAAGTACAATCAATCAATCAATCATTCAATCGGTAGATCACATTGGCTCTCTTACTGGATAAATCAATAGATCGATCGATCAATGTTCGACGAAAGACTTTTGTCGTGAAGAGCAAGTACCATCAATCGATCAATCAATCGATCAATGGATCTGATTCAATTAATCAAGCAATCAATCGATCGATTCAAGCTTTGGAGAAACTACTTTTGTCGGCAAGAGGCTAAGAGCAAGTATAACGACGACCCGTTTGGTCAACAATTGCATCAACTCCGCGCTTCTGAAGATCCCATACCGGAAGCGGCGCTGAACGCCTAGGTAGTGTCCTTGGGACCCCTCTTCGCTGAGCCAGCGAAACCAGCATCATCTCGTATTTACCCAGCTAGTGAAATCGATGTCCAACTAACCTTTCCGTATCATGTAGTAGTTGGTAACCTTTGAAAAACGTTTTTCGCTGATCGAGCTCGAGCAAAGGTGACCCACTTATCTTCTACACGCAGAAGCGAAAAACGTTTTTCATATTCAGAACGCGATCGCCTTTTCCAACCAACATCAGAAAATCACCGACTTCCTCCCCTTACTTCTCTTGCGTAATAGACTATAATAATGATAACAAGGAACGCTTCAAACGGTGTGAAGCAGGCGGCGGTTGTCTTTTGACACCCAGCTGGAAAACCTCCTCCTCTTATTCCGCACACGAGAAGATCAACCTATGCCCGCTCGTCGCCATGAGACGCAGTGGGCCCAAGGAGTTTGTGTACCACAAGTACTCCCGAAAAAGCATCAAAATCAGCAATCATAGCAACCGAGAAGAGAAATTGCCCATCAGATAAGCATCAAAATCTGATGCATTACGCTCAGCTGGGGGGAAAAACGGGTGCCTCTCTAAACTCCCGGTGACGGGTGCCTCTCTAAACTCCCGGTGAAATGCGCTACTGATCCCTTTACCAGGAAGGCCTGAGATCAGAGTGTGGAAGCCATTGATCAATCATTTAACTAACGAATACGGTGTGGATGCCACTCGCGTGGAAGCCATTGATTAATAACTTAACTAACGAGTCTCAGAGAGAGAGAGAGAGAGAGAGAGAGAGAGAGAGAGAGAGAGAGAGAGAGAGAGAGAGAGAGAGAGAAACGAATGTAGGTATTTTTCCGCCCGATACTCTACGGAGCGTAAAAGATTGGAAACTCACCCTGCCGCTTCCGTCGCAGCACAACCACAGGAATCTGCCCGTCAGCAGGACAGGGCTCCAGCCGACTGCTGCTCCCGGACTTACAAGAATAGCCGCGGGAGCGAGCAATGTTGAGAGTGAAACAGAGAGAGAGAGTGAAAGGAAGAGAGAGAGAGAGAGAGGGAGGGAAAGAGACGATCATAGCAGTTATTCTTCCGTCCCGTTACTCTGCGGAGCGTGAAGACTGGAAACACACCCTGCCGCTTCCGTCGCAGCACAACCACAGGATTCTGCCCGTCAGCAGATCTGTCTGCTCCCGGAATTACAAGAAAAGCCGCCGTAGCGAGCTCAAGTAAGGCAAGATCTGTCTTAAGAATGAAAAAAACTTTCCAAGCCTTCTACTTCTCGTCTATTAATAGCCGATCCCGTACCGATTCCGAAAGCTGTCTGCCGCATTCAGCTTAAGAACCCGACCGTACGTCTCGATTGCTCAACGGATCATTAACCGCCAGGCAGGCAGGCAGGAAGGCAGGTC